GGCCCAGGCTTGGCGCTGCCTTCTCCAGACGCATCTCCCGTGGACCTGCCTCCTTTCCCCTCCGCAACCCCAACACGCTATAACGAGACCCTATCGCCGGGGGCAGCTCACTCATCCGGTGCCGCGGCCGCCCACGGGGATGGAGATGAGCCAGCCCAGGTCACCTAGCTCAGTCTCACCTCCAGGAAGGGGTTCGCTCCAAAAAGAGGGAACTGATCCTATGTATTTTCAAAGGTTTCCAGGGAACAGCACTTGCATCAGGAGAGAGCCGGGTGGGGACAAGGTAGCAGCTACTGCACTGATTTTCCCCCCAAGTACATGTATCACTTTTTTTTTAAATGAAAAACCAAACACAAAAATTACCAACTTTCTTAACCTCGTATGTTCCATTTAAAACAGTACCTGAAACAGTGAATGCTTAATAATATAGTGCATTAAATAAATCGATGAATGGAATCAACGGAGAAAAACAAGGAATTTGGCCCTGCTGGGTGTAGCTCAGCGGTTGAGCATCCACCTAGGATACAGGAGATTGGGGTTCGATTCTGGGTCAGGGCACATGCCAGGGTTGCAGGCTCCACCCCCCACCCTCCCCCACCCCCGTTGGAGGCATGCGGTAGGCAGCCAATCAACGATGACACTCTCATCACTGATGTTTCTATCTCTCTCTCCCCCCCTCCCTTCCTCTCTGAAATCAATAAAGATATATTTAAAAATAATAATAAGGAATTTGAAGACAGAAGTCCTGGTTTTGGTCTGGGACCACCCTAATGCCAGTTGTGTAGTTGCATGACTTTGCAAAGGTCACTTAGTCTCCATATTCCCATGTGTAAGATGGGAATAATATTATCTCTTAGGCAGGTAAGAATCAAGTAAAATAAGGCATATGAAAGCATTTTCTAAACTGCCGAGTGTTAAACACATGAAAAACTGTTGCTGTTGTCCCCAAATTCCTTTAGGAACCCATTTATAGATTTTACATTAATTTCTCTCTTGGACTTGACAGTTTTAAGCATTTTGAAAGACGTCACAGAAAAGTTAATATTTAACTATGCCCTGACTTCAGATCTAACTTTGTAACTACAATGGGTTGTTCCCTTTGGTGGTACCTCTTATCCTATCCATTGCGAATGTGTGTAGGAGGCTGTCTAGGTTACTCTCCAGAAAGTGCTGTTTGGGGTGGTGCTGAAAATAGTTATCATCTCTATCCTCTTTGGTTAACACCCTTAATAGCTAAAAGGTCTACTGGTTTCTTCATTCATTCAACAAATATTTACCAGTGATTGCAGTATGCTAAGCATTGGATACCAGAAGTGTAGCAATGAACAAGACAGGCAAGGTCCTAACACTTAGGGAGGTTTCATTCTCATAAGACAGAGAGAAAATTAAAAAAAGCAAGTACTGTTTGTGGTGAGCACTTTCAAGAAAATCGTTAGGGTGATGTGATCTACAGTAATTGGGGTAGGCCACTTTGTATGAGATGAATGTGAATGGCTTCTCCTGGGAGGTGGGATTCCAGCAGACCTGCAAGGAAGCAGGCCTGAGGTTATTTGGACAGAAAGAAGAGCACTCAAAGCTCTGGGGGAGGGTGCTTGACACACTTGCAGAACAGGGAGGAAACTGGGAGTGAGAAAGTGGTAAGAAATGAGGTTGGAGAGACAGCAGGGCCAGATCATATCCAGCCTTTTGGGCCATGATAAGGTCTTTGGGTTATTTCTGAGAGAAATGGAAAGCAGGTGGAAGGTTTTGAGCTGAGGATTCACAAGACTTGACTTCAGTTTTAAATCAGACTCTGATTATAGTGTGACTTTAAGGGGTGCAAGGACTAAAGCAGGATGGCCAGGAATGAGATGGTGGCTTGGAATAGCTAATGGGGCGGGAGGAGGTGGTGCATGGTCTTGGACTTATAATGAAGGCTGAGTTGTCATGATTTACTAATGGATTGGATGTGGACTGCATTAGTTTCCTAACTCTGCCTAAACAAATACCGTAAGAGTACAGCTAAAAACAACAGAAATTTATTCTCTCACAGTTCTAGGGGACAGAAGTCCAAAATCAAGGTTCAGGAGAGCTGATGTGAAGGCTCTAGAGAGAATCCTTTCTTGTCAATTCCAGCTTCTGGTAGGTCCAAGTGTTCTTTGACTTGTGCCGCCATAACTCTAAATGCTGCCCCTGTTTTCACATGACCCTTTCCCGTGTGTCTCTGTGCCTCATATCTCCCTCTGCCTTTCTCTTATAAGAATGCATGTTATTGCATTTAGGGCCAACTCTAAATCCAAAATGATCTCATCTCAAGATCCTTGAGGAGCTAGACCCTATTTCCAAATAAGGTCACATTCACAAGCTCCAGATGGATGTATCTGGGGGGGAGGGGACTATTCTATCCACTAAGTGGGCCATGAAAAACAGTAATCAATTAAATAAAAGATGGTTTTTGAAGTTGTTAACCTTGAATTCCATTTATAATATTTTATGTTTTATTTGCCACTTATTTAAATTTCAAAATAATTTTATGTGGCAGGTATTATTATTATTCCAATATTAGAAATTATCTTTCCAACATTATTCCAAAGGAAACTAAGGCTCTGAAAATTCTGTGTAAACCTAGAATTGGAACTCAGAATTCTTTAGCTGTACCCCAACTTTTTGCCTGCTTTTGGAGTGGTATGGCAAGAAAATGTATTAGATGGAGGACAATAAAGGGCATCAATGGAAAAATTACAGCTTAATGACAAAACAAAGAATGTTGCTTCTTCTTTCTTTTTGGTTGTTGCTAACAGAACTCATCAAATTTTTCCTTACAGTAAGTTTCTAATACATAGTAGAGTTCATTTTTGAGCTATAATGAGAGATGCAGTATGACAGTGGAATTTTGCTGTTTCTGCACACAGGCAAACAAAACTTTTTTCCACTTGAGTTGAGGGGTTTTCTAGCTCAATTCAGAATTAATAGACCTATTCTTAAAAATCCCTAACAGACCATACAGTTTCTAATATTCATGTTAATAGTGAAGCTTGTATTTTCAGGTGGAGGGGGCAAGGCTGAGACTCTGAGCATCTCCAGTGTAGCAAGGAGCAGGGGCAAAGCTGAATCTGGTTTGAGAGATGATGGCTCTGCTAAAAGAACAGTCGGTGAATTATACAACCACAAAGGACACTTCAGCAGGTGTGTCAAGGATACAGGCCAAGACAGAAATCAGGGCCCATCCCTATATCCAACCCATGCACAGAAGTTACTTAAGTTCATTCAGCAACTAGGAAGGGGGAGGAGGGTTGTTGCATATATTGCATGGGACATATTTGTACTAAAGAATTACTCATTGTTTATCTGGAATTCAAATTTAGGAGCCAACAAGCCATGACCTAGAGTCTGAGAGGCAATGCGGTAATGATTAGGACATAGATATTGGTACCAGACAACCTGCATTTGAATCGTGTCTCTAGCACCTGCTAAGTCAACAGCTCACCTTATGCATTTCATTTAAATTCACTGTGTCTTGATTTCATCACTTATACAATGAGAACTTATATTATTACATACCTCATGGTTTTTTACTTGAGGATTAAGTGAATGAATATGTGTGAGGTGCTTGCAACAGAGCCTAACACAGTATTCTTCATGTAAGTGTTAGCTCTTTTTCTGTGACTTTTAAATTATCTAAATATTCATCTGGCCATGACTGTTGCAAACCAAAAAGACTTATTTAGGTGCCTCTGGGTTGTAATTTCTGAATCAAGATTTTATTTGCCTGTTTGTTTTCGACTAAAGAAAATTTAGTTTAATTATAAATAGGCGACTCCACCTCCTAATTTGCACAGGACACTCCCAATTTTAGGGCTATTGTCCCAGCATAATTACTAAAAGTACCCATCTTTTATTCTCAAAAGTGTTCCAGTTTGGACAATAAATCTTAAGGTCATCCTAATTGCAGAGATATTAAGAAGTTCTTCTTTTTGCACATACGAGTTATAGTTTGAAAATGTCAATACCTGCCCCTAGCCTGCACACACATAATCATTATTACCAGAGCCCATTTCAACTGGCTTTAAAGACTAACTTATCTTTCTAAAATATTTACTTATAAAAACAATATATGGCTCCTCATTGCCTACATAGTAAAATCTTAAAAACTCAACTTACCCTTACTTTCTAGACTCTTCTCCTCTTCCTGCAGCTTCCTCCACCCCCTCCCCACCTCCCCAGGCACCAGCTGCAGAGATGAAACCATGTGCCTTCGCTCCTCTCAGTCCCTTTCCCTTTCTGCTGACAGGTACCCTGCATTTTTCAAGGACCAGATCCAAGTCTTCTCCCGTGATAAAACCTTTCACAATTGCATTTTTGTCGGTTGTACATGTCTATACTCCCTATTTGTTTACGAGTGCCTTGATAGCAATACTTTGTTTTTTGAATCCCAATATATTCAAATTTTTTCATGAGTACTCTGAATATTTTTAAGTTGACTTGAATCTCCTAAGAACATTCATGTGTAGTACACACATTGTAAAAAGTCCTCCTCCTCCTCATCATTTTCTCTGCTACA